TACCAACTGGAGAAAGTTATCGCTGAAGGTCTACGAAACAGAAGTGCCTAGGGTCTACAAGAACCGTAACCCGGCCCTGTGTCAGACAACCTCACACTGCATGGCAAGGGGCTTCAAAACAGAGGGTTGACGGTGCTACGAATCGTTCCTTTATTCAATATTGTGATATAAACCAATGGAAAACTCGTGTTTAAGAATGGTGATGTGAAAACTGTGTTCCGTAGAATGAAATCTTTTTTTTTAATGGGGCCGCACGTTCTGGCTGATTCTCCCATTATTAATAAGTGGAGTTTTTGGTTTAATAATCCTGACTGCAACATTGTTCTTCAACGAGAAAACCAACCTCCCTCGTGTCATGCCGACCACTGGTCCTGTTCATTTACCATAACATTAGTTTCTTGTACGTACTAGCATGCAATGTTAACATTTTAGAGTGCAGCTGTATATTCACAGCGTTGTTTGTAAGTTTGTTCTGAACCAAACTGCGATATAGTCAATTAGAATCGCTCAACAGTGTCAGCTGAAATGTGTTTAAAGCTGGAAAAAAATGCAGTGTAGAATATAAATCTTAAGCTAATGGCTTTCTCAACGTATGGTTAATTTAAAATCATTAACGAAAAATGTTTGCACGGTCAGTTAGCTGTGGGTCACAGAGCGGCTGAAAGCTGAATGCTGTAACTCAGTCTCGGAGCGACAGATTAGATGACATGAATGGTAGAACGTATGCCAGGAATTCAGTTTATGAATTCCCTTCAGTTTAGCCTGCGTTACAGACGGTCAACCGAGGCCAATTTTATTACCTAATGGATTGAAATTGAGATGTGTTGACAGTGTCTAACACCCAATTGGTGCTCGGCACGTGGGTAATTTAGTATAGAAAGCATATGATATTAATTGTGGTTGACAGGACTTCATTACATTTAAAGGCGTGAGACTGTGTTCTCATCCATACACGTTTTTTATGTTTTCAAGGCACTGAATTGATAGTGGTTTAGTTATGCATACACAGCGCGTATATTTTATTGTTACATGGTGAAATATTGGCAATTTATTCTCGATTTATATACATTTTTTCTCGATAAATGTTTTACAATTAATATATAACCTGGATGTGGAGTGGTGGCACAGTAGTTAGCACACTGTGCCATACACCTGGCGCCCTGCGTTAATTTCCAATTAGGGCTCATATCAGCAGCAAGTTATATCTGAATCAGTTATGACCCTCTATATCTTTCAATATGAACTCCCCATGACCAGCAACAACGTGGGAGCCCTTCATCCAGCAGTGGATTGTGAAAGACCCGTGAATGATTAATTATATTATTATAACCTAATGTGTCTTGCAAATGCTGGATTTTTATTTAAATTTCGTTGGAAATATACAAATAAAAACTTGCACTACGGTATTTCAATCTCATTGAAAGTGTTGTGTAATTGAAATTTTTTATACATTGAAGAAATAAATATTGCTTAATTTTAACTTCCCAAACCATTACTGACAATGCATTAAATACATGTAACAATACATTATCACTTGCTGTTAATGCTTTTGTAAATATAATATATAACACACACTGATGATTGTTCAGCATGTGTTGTGTCCTTCATCATAACTGAGGCCAACAACATTATTACAGTACAATGAACCACAATAACGTGATGCTTTCCGACTGTGTAGCACTTGGAGCAAAACATCGGACATGATGCTGGGCAGGTTATCATTCCATGGAATTTTTATTTTGTCTATCGAGTGGTATTGTCGTATATTTTTTTTATGATGCTTGCGTAGTGGGTCAAAATGTTAAGCGTTTTAAGATGTACTTTGCCCGAATGATGCTATGTAAAAAATACAATTATTGTAAAAAACGAAACTTTACCAAAAATAACATGTTTAAACGTTTACAAATATAAACCCTTGGCGCTGAGGGGAACCACAGCAATTAAAGCAGCCTCTTTGGTTTCGTTGAGGTCATATCACGCTGCTGGGAGTAATGGCTGTGGGTAAAGGTCCTGTTTTCTTCCGCCACACAAACTTAAGCAGTTGGGAGGAGAGAGCTCCGCTTTTATTTTCTCGTTTGCTCATCAGTCCTGGGTGGCAGCACAGAGCCAGCTGCTCGGCAGGTTTTGCATTCCGCAAAATTACGAGCACAACTCACCCGGTATGGTCACCTCGTGTGGTTTGCACCAGAGCTCAAAATAGCTTCAAAGTACGTCGATATAGACTCTTGTCTCCTTTCTTTTGTTACCCACCGTGCTCCCGAGGAGCATACATTACCTTTTTTTTAAATCTGTGGGTGTCACGGGTGTCTTCAGACACCCCCAAACAGTTTTACAAATGTCTAAGAGACACCCGTGACGTTTTAGAGCAAACAAACAAATTCGTGGTGTTTTCCAGTTTCTTCAACAAGGTGACATATGCTGATAATGCTTATGAGGCTCCGAACAGAGTCAGTAGATGCATACATTTGACACAATGCCAGTACAACAGAACTCTTCTTATTATCTGTGCACAGTTATGGGTGAGCTTCACAGAACTTATCAATAATTTAACCAATAACCACCGGGACGCATTACCTAGCACAGGAGTCGGCAAACTAAAATAACAAGAGCCATATTTTTTCGAATTCGCTAAGAAACTCATATTTTAAGAGCCATAAAATAAAATAGAATTCAGACGTTTCGGGCGCAACACAAGCGTCCGTCATCAGGTGGGAAAGCATGGTGACGGACGCTTGTGTTGCGCCCGAAACGTCCGTGATCTATTTTTATTTTATACCTACGTGACTTTACCGAAAGAACCAAAGAGTATGGATTCCTGCAGTCACGTGAGCTTCAAATCAATGTTTCAAGAGCCGCAATGCGTATGAATACGAGATGGTGGTCCTTAAATAATGTCACGAAGCGGTCCTTAAAGAGCTGCATGGGGGCTCCAGAGCCACAGGTTGCCGACCTCTGACCTAGCTGGACACCCCCAACTTCCAAAGTCGTTTTAGTGGACAGTATTTACTTCGGGCTCACGTGACCCATGGCGTCAACGGATTGTTCCTGCCTTATAACATCTGGCATCGCAACAGGGTTCGTTTACAAGGCCTGACTGCTGGTGAGACCCAGAAAGGTCGAAACTGGTTCAAGCGGAAATAAATGCTCTGGGATATTTTCAGTGATTTTTTTTTATCTTCTCCAGTTGATACCCACATAATGTTCTATCGGAAGAAACCATGAGTTTTTTTTTGTTAAAACCATGTATTTAATGTACAGTACATTTGAATTCATCTTTTTGGTTCTTTCGGTAAAGTCACGTAGAAAGAAAGTAATAAAATAATAAAAATAAAACATAATAAAATAATTCTCACGACGTTTCGACCACAACGCAAACAGGTCTGTCGAGGAGACAGACCTGGTCTTCACCTGAGGACGGCTGCTTGCGTTGTGGCGAAACGTCGTGAGAATTATTTATTATGTTTTATTTTTATTATTTTATTACTTCCCTTCTACGTGACTTTACCGAAAGAACCAAGAAGATGAATCCCTGCAGTCACGAAAGCTTTAAATAGAAATTTACATTTGAATTGTTTGTAAAGCCTTACATAAACGCACAATTATATGTCCGTTGTGAATGTGTTACGTCCCAATTGAGTGCCTGTGCGTATACTGTGCAAAATATTAATTGAAGTGAGCAGCCCACAAGGCTTTGTAAAATTCTTCTCTTCACACTCGGTTGTACCTTTAAGAGCTCTCCTCTTCAGAACAGCACAACAGAATGAGGCATCACTCTCCGATGCCTTTTCGGATTGTGCTGCATTGCAACCCGAAACGAATCGGAGAGCCGTGCGTCACAACCGCGGACACCCACGCAGTGGTGAAATGAGGCAGGACATATTGACCATTAATCTTGGGTCAACGTGTTAATCAGTGAATATTAAGTGCTACTCTACACTGTCTCTTAAGCGTATGCCACTATACCACCACAATCAATGTCTTTTTTGGTTCTACCTTCTGGCAAACTTCATGAAATCCATCAAATCATTCCAATTTTCCACGATATATTATTTACCAGGCATCAAATATGGCATGGACAGCTTGGAAGAAACTAGTCCACAATGTGATTTTTTTTAAGCCAACATAATCAGAACGCGCGACGACTGCGCACTTGTAAATAGCTGAGTAAATAATTGGATGAAAATGCCTACGCGACCATTTTCTGGAATTCATGTCTTGCAAAATGAATTTAATGGGTTCATACTTTTTCTTGGTTCTTTCGGTAAAGTCACGTAGAATGGAAATAATAAAATAATAAAAGTAAAGCAATAAAATAATTCTCACGACGTTTCGGCCACAACGCAAGCAGCCGTCCTCAGGCGGAGAGCAGGTCTGTCGAGTAGACAGAGTATTGTGCGTATATTTTACTATGAATACACATGAAGAGTGCGTATTCATATAGCGGAGGTGCAGCACTTCACTACATTTAACTAGCTCGCACTGCTGCGAGCAGAAGGACCTCCGAATAGAGAGAGCTCGAGAGCGCCCCTCTACAGGGCATTTGGCCTACTCGTCCACGCCGACCAGACGATTTGAACGAGGTGGGGGTAATCAAAAAATACGAAAGCAACAACCGCCGTTCGCCACTAAGTGGCGGTGACGTCACCCCCGGCGCTTGTGCCACAGGAGTTGGTAAGCGCTCCACCGAGCAATAGCACGATGTAACACAGTTTTTGTTCCTGGGTAGTAAGTGTTATTTCGAAATTGCTTATGCCTAAAAAGTATAGAAAATGGCTATTATTCCCCACAAACTTGCTTTTGTGACCAGGACAGTGATATTTAGAAATGTACCTATTTTCAATGAGAAAACGGGCGAATTTGTGTCTTTTCGTTCACATAAAGTCAGAAAAACAACATATGAATCAAAATTAACATGTATTTATACTAAAGTAATACAAAATTACTACAAAAGATTTAGAAGTGAGTAGTTTTTCGAGATTTACGATTATACTGTAAATCACTTTCACGAATCAGCCCCCAAATGTAGTCTCCCATCATGTTCTCGTTATACTGTCCTTGGTAGCGGCGTTCAAAGTCCAGTATATCCTGGTGGAAGCACTCGCCTTGCTCCTCCGAGTACGCTCCAATGTTCTCCTTGAATTTATCAAGATGAGCATCAAGGATATGGACTTTGAGGGACATCCTACAGCCCATTGTGCCGTAGTTCTTCACCAGAGTCTCAACCAGCTCCACATAGTTTTCGACCTTGTGATTGCCCAGGAAGCCACGAACCACTGCGACAAAGCTGTTCCAAGCCGCTTACTAGTGAGCTTCTTGGGGAATTCATTGCACTCCAGGATCTTCTTTATCTGTGGTCCGACGAAGACACCGGCTTTGACCTTTGCCTCAGACAGCTTAGGGAAGAAGTCTTGAAGGTACTTGAAGGCTGCCGACTCCTTATCTACAGCTCTGACAAATTGTTTCATAAGGCCCAATTTGATGTGCAGTGGTGGCATCAGCACCTTCCGGGGGTCCACCAGTGGCTCCCACTTGACGTTGTTCCTCCCCACAGAGAACTCGGTCCGCTGTGGCCAGTCCCACCTGTGGTAGTGCGCCTTGGTGTCCCTGCTGTCCCAAAGGCAAAGATAGCAGGGAAACTTGGTAAACCGCCTTGGAGACCCATCAGGAATGCCACCATTTTAAAGTCTCTGATGACCTCCCAGCCGTACTCATCATAAGCCGTCCAGCAAGGTATTGATGCTGTTGTAGAATGTTCTAGAAGTTACTCCAAGTTTACTCAGCACTTAATCTATCTGGAATGTTCGGGAAAATAGGTAACTTTAAAAATATCACTGTCCTGGTCACAAAAGCAAAGTTTGTGGGGAATAATAATCATTTTCTGTACTTTTGATGCATACGAAATTAGGAAATAACACTTACTACCCAGGAACATGAAAAATGTATTACACAGTGTAATTTATGCCGGTAACCACGGTAGAAACACCAATTTAAGCTCGAGTAGCCACACCACACTTCACCGCACGCAACCTGCCGTTCGACCAACTGTGCAGTGTTAGCACCATTACCGTCGGTACATTGGGGTGCTTCTAAAAATGGCTCAATATTAATCCCATCAATTATAATAATGTGTCTTTGGCCCCCAGCTTCATTGGCTCAACTGTTCTATGTGGTTCTCTTTTTGCACGCCCGACCCGCGTGGATGTTTTCCAGACGAAGTGTCCTCAGGCGAGTGAAGGAGCCTATTACAGAGCCATTATTAATGGAAGCCATTCGTTTTTCAATCAAGTGGGATTTGTGAAAACAAAAAGAAAAACCACCGCAAGCGTGCGCACACACTGGCTAATAATAGCTGGAGTCATTCTGACTGCAATTGTGTAATTTTTTAATTGCTTTAAATCAAACTTCATTATCTCTTCCTACCCTTTGCACTTAAATTAAAACAAAATGTTTGGCCTGATAGTCCTGTAAAAGGGTGAGAGTGCAACCCTTCGATTCCTCGCTTGTGCCGCTGCTGACAGAAGGTACTTCTGCAAAACGAGCTCGAGCTCCTTTAGGCAACATTTTTGGTTTTTGCTTCCATGATCGACGCATTTGAAAGAGGTAGGAGTTCCCCACACTTTACCCCACCACACACAATCTGCTAAAGGACTACCTGTGGTGTGTCCATTTCAGAAACGTAACCCAAAGTAAAAAAAATTAAACATGAGCAAATCTTTATATGGACCATTTTAACATTCGTCACTATATATATTTTTTTAAATAAAATATAAACCTCAGATTGTCTCAAACCGATTATTTATCAACATTGCAAAAAGTCAATTGAAGACATACTCAGTTTAACACGTAGGCTTTCGCGACCAATGTTATTCATAATCAACGTTTTTGGGTTTAGATCGCGTTATTTATAAATGTGTCGTAACCCTCCACCACCCGACACGGCCAATCAGTAAAAATGTGTCACGTTCACAAAAGACAAATAGTTCACTGTGGTTTCACGCTTCAACACACCGGTGGGCTAAAGCAGTGAACTATTTGTCTTTGTCAACGTGACACTTTTTTACTGATTGGCCGTGTCGGGTGGTGGAGGGTTACGACACATTTATAAATAACGCGATCTAAACCCAAAAACGTTGATTATGAAGACATACTGTAGATGATTGTTACAATTTATAACCTGAAGCACCATTTGTGAACATTGTACACAATACCTTTTCACAATTGTCAAGACAACTTCACGAATATTTCACTGGCTTTATGTAAACGATTCAGATTCGTTGCCGATTGTGAAAACAGCTGTATTTTATGGTGAATTCAATAAACACCTATTCAATTATTGATTATGGAATGGCAGCCGAAGGAAAGGTGAGAATGCTCCTGAAAGGATGGTGCAATGATACCAGCACAGAAGCCATCAATCTAGGTGGCTGCAGCTGACGTTTGTTACACATCGATTGGCCAAGCTTACATACAAATTTAGCATTTGAGAGTTATGAGCAATTCCTTCGTCCAAACCATCCACGTGGTATGTGCTAGGGTGGTCACATGACTATTTCTGGGATTGGCCCTTAGAGATTATACTCGCACACTTTAGAAGGCGTACTCCTGGGCCATGGCCTTGCATGGCTAGAGTAAGATTGTGATTGCGGGCCCATGTTAAAGAAAATGGGACACGGAGACCTCAGCGCAAAATAATCACGGCCAGGGTCCAGGGTGCCTTAAGCTCAACGCACAAACAAGGCATGACAGGCCAGGTCAGTGTGCACACCCGCACAAGTTTTGTGAGTCACTGTGTTCACAGACCATGGAAATAATTATATGAACCAACTAATCCTTGGCTTAAGAATAATCAAATTACAACATACATTTCAATATTTGTAGCAATAGTTTATTGACTCCATTGTCCAAGACGAGAATAAGTGTTACGAACGTGATATAGGGTTAAAAAAAATGTACATGCAGCTATTACCCTGTTTACAATTTTAACCCTAAACACATGAGCTTAGGGTAAGTATTGAAAACTGGAACATATGTTTCATAATTGGGCTTTTATTATGTATATTTTAAAAATCCTTATTTAAATGCTGGTTTGTGGAACACAAATTTAGATGAACCAAGGATACTGTAAAATAAAGAGAACTTTAGAAAGTAAAATATGTTCCAATACATATGCCAAAACCACAATATTACAAATAGCAGTATGTTTGAAAAGTTTAAATTTGAGCGGGTGAGGAAATATATTTCTTTACAAAATGTAGAACAACAGAATATGCATGACTCAGGAAGCTATTGAAATAATCGGCTGAACAAGAGCAGAATGGGTCTGCTTTGAAAAACAACTTGATAATGTAAATGAAAACATTAAGGAAGCATGGAGAGATGCTTGTTTGGAATCACAGAAACATAAATATATGTATTAGAAAACATCCAAATAATAAAGTAAGCTTGGGCAGGACACATACAGAAGGAAACATGGGCAGTGAATGAGACTGGTGACAGAATAGCAGCCAACGGAAATGAGAGAATGTGCCCAAGATGAGTACATGGTAGAGATTAGTTCATGTGCAGGAGGGAGATGGATGTGGCATCAGAGGATCAATTTTGAGGCCCCTATCCATTAGTGAATAAACAATATATGAAATGATGATATAAAAATAGAGTACGTATTGCTTAACAGCAACAAAGACAAACACTTTTCTTTTTCCAATTAGGACATTTAGAGAAGTACTGTTGGTGAGTACCCACCATAGCCAGATGGCCCATAGGGATCTGATATAGCCTGCACAATTACTCCTAGGGTTATGTACACGCTTACCCCGTGGTCCCTTTCCCGTTATCGTGCGTGTGTTATGTTCACCTTGTGTACATGCCGTTCTGAGAGGGAAATTGCCCGGGAAATGATTTCCGGCCACTCCATTTAGACCCCGTGACGGTAAGTGGCCTGTCTACGGGGAATGCTGTATAGTGACGCTTGAATCCGCAATCTCTATCATTTTTGATCTATACTACGCGCTTCCAAATCTCTGTCTACCGATGGGAAAGCCCTTCTGCCTTAGTGGGCTCTTGTTTAGAAATGTTGATGAGAGGCCCTGCCGTTCGCTTGAAAAGGTAACTCGGTCCCCCGAGAGGGGCACCTGGTGCAGACAACGCCCTAGCACTATTCCTGGACCGGTCCCAGGCGAGATCGACGGCACCCTCGGATCGGACCGCTAGTTCTCGTCTCAGGGGAGCTCAGTGATAGGATAAAGCTTATAGTTAAGTTCAAATCAAAGGGTTCGGGCGGGTCCGCTTCATGCTACCCGTTTCTGCGGTAAATCCTTTGACGACTAGCGGCCTATTCACTCATGATCGTCGGGTGCCGATCCAATAGAAACATGCACCTCGGACGTCTCCGGAGTCCGGCGCTAGGAGTAATAGGAGCGGAGGTGCCGGTTCCGCGGAACCCAATACAATAGAAAGTTGTCACCCAGTCACTACAAGACTACAATCTCTCATCGTTTAATAAACACGGAGGGGCGAGCATCAATACTCGTCTCTATTTACAGACTGGTAGGCCGTCAATATTGGAAGATAGTTGATTCGACTCGGCATTCCTACAGGGAAACTGGCATAGTTTTGCAGCGCGATTGACACGGCTCCCATCTCCAAGAGGCAGAACCGGGCGGATCAGCCGGATACTCGGCTTAATTGTCGACGTGAGGCAAATAGGTCTTGAACACGGTACTGTACTTTATCGCCTGAGTGTCACTCGCATTCTAAGGTTCACAGTTTCTCGATATTTTACCCAGACACGTCCAGCCAAGTCAAGTTTTCTTCTGCATCCTATCTAGTTTACCCCTATGACCATCGTAGTTCGTAACACTAGCAGCAATCTTGGGTCGGTACGTTGTCGACCCTCCGCGTAGGGATAGCGCGGCCCAACTCGTAGACGATATGAAATGGATTCGAACGAAAAATTTCATAAGATAATAGTTTCTCTTACTACTGTGACCGACAGATGTTTTTCCGTCTAGGTGTATTTCCCTGACTGAAAGCCAAGTCTGGTGCGGAAAAGACGCTGCCATGTAACGTATTACTTGGTCAGCTATAGGGTAGTGGTGAAATGACTGCTATCGCGGACAAGGTGATAGGCGTATAAATAAGCACGCCACGCCTAGGGGTGGCCCTCTGGCAGAAAAGTTTACGTCACCCCGGGT